CAGTGACAGACTTTCTTTCTTTGGGCGCCAAAGTCACTGCAGATGGTGACTACAACCATGAAATTAAACGACGCTTGCTCCTTGGAAGAAAAGCTACTACAAACTTAGCATATTAGAAAGCAGAGACATAGATTTGCCAACAAACGTCCGTGTAGTCAAAGCTATATAGTTTTTCCAGTGATCATGTATGGATGTGAGTTGAATCATGAAGAAAATTTGCTCAACGCTATGAGACTCTGTGATCCCATGGACTGTAGCCTACCAGGGGACTTGGGGATCAAACCCAGGTCTCCTGCATTGCAGGCAGACGCTTTACCCTCTGAGTCACCAGGGAAGCCCGAAGAAGGCTGAGCGCCACAGAATTGACGCTTTTGAACTGTGGTGTTGAAGACTCTTGAGAGTCCCTTGGACTGCAAGATCCAACCAGTCCATCCTAAAGGAAATCAGTCCTGAATATTCATTGAAGGACTGATGCTGAAGCTGAATTTCCAATACTTTGGCCACCTAATACGAAGAGCCAACTCACTAGAAAAGACCCTGATGCTGGGAAAGATTGAAGGCAAGAGGAGAAGAGGACGAGATGGTTGGATGGCATTACCAATTCAGTGGACATCGTTTGAGTAAGGTCTGGGAGATGGTGAAGGGCGGGGAAGCCTGGTGTTCTGCAGTCCATGGGGGCGAAAAGAGTCGGACACGACAGAGTGGCTGAACAAGAAAAAAACCCATACTTTCCACCGCTCAATGCTTACAGAATTTGGCACGTTTGAACAGTCCCGTTACTGCTGTAAACCGTTCTTTGTGCCTAACTTATTTGGGCTCGCAGTTCCTCTACCAGCATGGTGCAACGGCTTGGGAAGGCGGAACCTTGGCTTCTGGTCGAGTTCCGACCAGAACAAACGCCATGTCCACCCCAAGAAGCCGGCGGTGGCGCGCAATTCTACCCTTGGACCTGGGGTACCAGGCATGGGACAGCCCACGAAGTCTCAAGGGCTCTACTGAGGACGTTCAGAGTTCCCAGGGCAGCGGGAAGAGGACAACAGTAAAGAGGGAGGGCACTTTTTCTTTTCCTGGCGGGAATTTTACCTCAGGGCAGTAAACTCTAGAAATGCCGGCAGAGCAGGTGCATTTGGGGGAGACCTAAACGCCCCTCCCCGTCGCTCACCCCGAACGGGTTTCCTCTCATTCCACTACGTCCAAAGCCGGCCTGACCATCGCCGGCCGGCGAGTCAGGCGCCCCCTGGCGTGGCGGAGGAAGCGGCTCGCGGCGGGGTGAGGAGGGCGCGGGGAGGGCGCGGGGAGGCTGGGAGGGCCTGGGACCGCGCGGCTGCGAGCCACACGGCTCAGATGGAGAGCGAGACGGCCGAGTTTCCACGGAGTGGTGTCAGCACTGTGGACTCTGAATCCAGCGATCAGAGTTAGAGTCTCGGTGGGACCTTTCCTTTTAGGCCGCACGCAGGGTCTTTTACTGGCGCAGCCCGAACTCAGTCTCCTCCTGAAAGCGAGCTGCGCCTCAGATGCGCGCTGAGTGGACCTACTCTCCCGCCCCAGGGCCCAGCTCGTCCCGTTCTCGGAACCAGAATGCCTAGGTCCCGCGAAGGAGGCCCTGGGCACCTCCTGCTCTGCCGCCTCCCCCTCAACACTCGACGTCTGAAACCTGCTGCTCTGAGAGACGCAGGTCCGTGGACCACGGGGAGGTGGGGGACGAGCCCGTGGCGTCCCCGCTGGACCCTGCGGCTCTGCCGGTCTGTGGTCATCGGAGGCCCAGCCCCGCCGCCAAAGGGCGCAGCGACCGAGGCACTGCCTCCCCCTGTCGGGTCACCCTGGGTCTCGCGATAAAAGGCAGAAAAGGTGCACCCACTGAGTCCTGCCCCGCGAGGAGGCTTCGGACCGCACGTCTCGTCCCTGTGAATAATGGTCCGGGGGCTGTGATGGCATTGACCGGCCAGGGTGAAAGCTTTCCGGGCGGGGTTCCAGACCTGAATGGTGCCCTTTTCAGGTGCCCTAGATTCGCAGTTTTGATTGTTCCTATTTCAGTTTATTTCAGAACTTCTCGCTCCTAAGTATCCTTTGGACGCGAAAAACCGCTGTTAGGCTAAGACTTAAACCTTGACTCCAGGAAACCTCCTTTCATTCCAAACTCAGCCAGAAAGAGGAGTCACGGTGGTGTATTCCAGCGTCTGAGATCAGGGGTCGCTCACCCACGCCTTTGAGACACTTGCAAATCTTATAGTTGGGGCCAGAATAGTGAGTATAGTCTATTTAGTTAGATTTGAGTTGGAAACAGCATTCACTTTTTTATCATTATAAAATTGATTTTTTAAATGTCATTTCTAGACATTGGAAACACAATGTAACTTTTGTGGAACAACCATATAGATGAGAACTATAAAACAGAGTAATTTGTATGTACCCTGGGACAGTGACAAAATTTTTAAAAATCTGCTTTCCTTAATTGTGTTATTATTGGCCTTGTTGGTATTTATTCTTATTCCAAATGATGTGCGGAAAAGCAAAGGAGATTGTATGAAATCTTGTATTTCTATTACTCCCAGTGTCCTTAAAAACAAAAATACTGGTATACAGAAAAGAGGCAGATGATAGATAAACCTTCAATAAATCCTGAAGTTCTGAATTTGAATATATACATTCATACAAAGATGAATATGTATTCCCTAGCTCTGTCCACTGGAAATGCCTAGAAATAAACCAAAATCCAGGAAGCATCTTAAGGTTACAATCTGATATGGGAATAACATTTTGCACAAAAGGAAACCAGAGATTCTTATAAAAATGACTGAGTCCAGGCCAGGGGCAGAAAATATTCAGGATCAAAGAGAAGCACCTTGTCATAGTGTTATCAAGAAAGGTCTCGAATACTATTAGGAACTTTTCAAAAGAATTGAGGAGCCAGCTTAAAGTCACTTTCGCTGCCAAAAGAGAGATAATTTGAGTATTGGCAAGAGCTATATTGCAATGAACTGAAATACTTCACTGGTTTGAAATTTTGAATTCATATTAGCACACAGGGGAAAAAAAAATAAATGAATTGGTGAGCACAGAGGGTACATTGGGCATTGCTCATTAAGCTGCAGTTTTCTTTACAGAGAGTTCAGTTCAGTTCAGCCGCTCAGTCGTGTCCAACTCTTTGCGACCCCATGAATCGCAGCACACCAGGCCTCCCTGTCCATCACCAACTCCTGGAGTCTACCCAAACCCATGTCCATTGAGTCAGTGATGCCATCCAGCCATTTGTCGTCCCCTTCTCCTCCTGCCCCAAGTCCATCCCAGCATTAGGGTCTTTTCCAATGAGTCAACTCTTCGCATGAGATGGCCAAAGTACTGGAGTTTCAGCTTCAGCATCAGTCCTTCCAATGAACACCCAGGCCTGACCTCCTTTAGGATGAACTGGTTGGATCTCCTTGCAGTCCAAGGGACTCTCAAGAGTCTTCTCCAACACCACAGTTGAAAAGCATCAATTCTTTGGCACTCAGCTTTCTTCACCATCCAACTCTCACATTCATACACGCCCACTGGAAAAACCCTAGCCTACCACTGAGTAGCTAAACAGTATTTAGTATTTAGGAGAACTTTCTTTTTCTGCAAGCATCCAATTAAATACTACGTGATGATGGAATACCACCATTTAGTGCCACCTAATCAGCAAATGGATCGAGAGGTCTTGAACTAAAAGGACTGGTAATACTATTTGAAGAAACACACAGGACTTGATGTGCCTCCTCATCAGAGAGCACACACCACTTCTGAAGTAGTCTTGCCAGGACCACAAGTGTGAATCTCATCGTCTCTGTATCTAAGGTCCAAAATAGGGACCATGAGACATATGGCTTTTGAATAGTTTCAAAGTAGTAGGACTGAGGACCTGGATTTTCATTTATAATTCATGTGACTGTAACCTTAAAAGTTGGAGACATAAACAATATTTTTCTATCAAACACAACTTTAAAAAATTGCTAGAATTATATTTCCTTTGTGCGTGTGCTCAGTTGCTCAGTTTTATCCAACTCTTTTGGGTCCATGGATCATATCCTGCCGGGCTCCTCTGTCCATGGGATTTCCCAGGCTAGAATACGGGAGTGGGTTGCCTTTTCCTCTTCCAGAGGATCTTCTTGACCCAGGGATCGAATCCACATTTCTTGTGTCTCCTGCATTGGCAGACGAGTTCTTGGGAAGCCCCATATTTCCTTTAAAGTATATATAGCATTATCAGCTATGTGGAAGATTATATTTGCATTATTGTGCTCTTATACTTTTTAGTTGTCAGTGTGGTTACTAGAAAATTTTAAGCTATGTGTGTGACTTGCATTTTTATTACATTCCAGCACCGCTGTATATTTTACCACCAAAAAGGAAGCATGAAGGACAGAAACACTTATTAAAGTACACCCTAGTATACAGTTTAGACTGTGGGAATGCTACAGAAAAACCAACTCAGTTTCTTCAACAAATGAATGATTTAAAGGGAAAAAAAGGACAGCAATAGACCAAGAGAGATGGAGAGCGAGTAAGAGAGAAAGCAAGGAAGGAAGGAAGGAAGGAAAGAAGAAATTGAAGGTAAGCTTACATGTAAGAGACTTCAATGCATTATCTTAGTGATTACAGTTTGTGGATTCTATTTGGATCCAAAAAAGAATACTAACTTAGAAACAATAATGGAAGAGGGGCAGGGGGGCTGCCCTGGTTAAGAATTCGCCTAGCAAAGCAGAGGACACAGGTTTGATCCCTGGTCCAGGAAGATCCCACATGCTGTGGGGCAACTAAGCCCACAGGCCGCAACGACTGAGCGCATGGGCGGCAACTACTGAAGCCCAAGAAACCAGCAAACCACAGGAGAGTAGCTCCCACTCTCCACAACTGGAGAAGACCTGCGCCAAGCTACAGCGATCCAGGGCAGCCACAAATAAATAAATTAATAATAAAAAAACCTATGTGATCAAATAAGCTGAAAAAAATGCTGCATTTAAAAAAATGGAAAATTTGAGAACGCAGTGGCCAGGGGAGGTTGAAGAGCTCTAGCTAGGTTGGCGGTTGGACTGTTGATGTAAACGGTAGGAGTACTTAAGCTGCCACCAAACTTCTCGCCTGCCATTAAAGATCATGGAAGATTCACGGAGCGAACAACAGCGGATGTTACGACGCCACCAGCGCGAGAAGAAAGAGCTACAGGACCACATTCAGCTCATGAGGAGTTCGGTCCCCAAGAGCGACAAGAAGAAAAGAAAGCAGTTGCATCTCGACGTGGCCCGCCTTGAGGCCGAGATGGAGCAGAAGCACCAGCAGGAACTGGAGAAGTTTCTTGATTCTGTCACTGAAGATCTAGCCAAGATGGATCTTGAGAACCAGTCTCCACACCTCCTCAGGGCACGGAGAAAGCAAGAAAGAAGGGTTGCCCTCCTGAGGGCACGCCAGGGGAGGACTGCGGAGGTTAACATGGAGTGTCTGGCCAGCTTCCGCCAAAGCGAGGCAGAGAAGCTCGGCGCCATCCTGGAGGCCAAGCATCTGGAGATGAAGGATATGCCGACTGATAGCCACTGCATGTATCGTGCCATCCAAGATCAGCTGGTGTTCTCCGTAACCGTGGAGAGCCTGCGGAGCCGCACTGCCAAGTACATGCGGAAGCACATCGATGATTTCTTGCCTTTCTTCAGCGACCCCGAAACCGGTGATGCCTACAGCCGCAACCGCTTCTTTCGCTGCTGTGACAACATCGTGTGCAGTGCATCGTGGGGAGGCCAACTGGAGCTGAGGGCCCTGTCACACATCCTGCAGACCCGCATCGAAGTGATGCAGGCCGACCCGCCAGCCATCGTCATTGGAGAGGAGTATACCAGGAAGCCGCTGATCCTGGTCTACGCGCACTACACCTGCAACTTCGGGGAGCACTGCAACTCCGCGAAGCCGCAGGAGGCCGGCGCCACTGGGGGCGCAGCCCCTCGTCTCTTCTAGACCGGCCTTCGTCATCGCTGTGGCGGTTGCCACCGGAGCCGAAGCCGCCGCTACCGCGTCTCCTCAGTAGACTCTCTTTTCTTTTTTCCTTCGCTTTTCTTGTTTTTTTTCTTCGTTTTACTCAGAGCTCACCCCGCTTCTCTCTGCCCTCCACCCGCTACCTACCCACCTCGCTCTTCTATCCCCTACCATCTTCCCTGAGTTGCTTCTTAAGAGATCTGTATAGTCCTCCCTGAGGGGAGTGAGTTTGTCAAGTTTTCGCCACTTCTTGCCCTGAAGGGTCTCTTTCCCCACCCCCGTGAGAACCGGTCTTGTTACAAATAACTTTGAGGTTCAAAAAATGGCAACTTGGTTTGATGCATTCTTCACCTGGGGGGCGGGGGTGGGGCGAAAATCAGTTTAGCTCAGAATCTTCCCATTGTCCTGTGAATGTATTAATTACTTAAAGGAGCTGATGTGATCAAAATGATTTGTTTTGAGAATGACTTTTGCTTAGTTCTTTGGGAAAAAAATGTACTGTGCACTGTTATAGAGGGTTGCTTTTCCCTTTACCTGGGCTACTCAGGAGATGTCTCAAGTTACAAACAAGACCTCCTCTAGTATTTTGCTTTGTTTTTTCATAAAACCTTGCGTGGTTGCAAATTAATTGTAGTTTAGATGCTT